GGATTTAGGCTCAATTTGACTTAATCGTAATACGATAGTGGTTTATCCCTCGGTTCTGGTGAGGCGCCACTATTGGAATTTGAATTAGCCCCCTTGTACCTCGCTGGGTGGGGCTGGCCTTTTGAGCCATGCCAATAGCCCAGACACCTTCTCTGCGCTGAATTTATACTCTACCTAAGTATTTTGTCTTCTTTCGTCTTCAGGGAGCCCCGGGACGCTACAGAACTAATACACCATCTCACTGAAAATAGAAATTGTGTAGTTACTTTACTCACAGCACAACAACATCAAGAAACACTAAAAAAACTAAGTAAGAAGCTAGAAAAAGTTTACACTTTATTATGTTCAAAATACCAATACATAGCACTTTAAACACTTAATGTTTTTGAGTGCGTTTTCCTAATAAACACGTAGTCTACCTATTTAATGTCGTTAATGTGATGTTGAGCGTGTATTTTGGCTTTTATGTATAAAGCATTGCCTATTTTTTTATTTGTCATTCCTTGTTTATACCCTTGACGCTTTTATAGCAATTGGCCAAAATTCGGGCCACCATTCAAGTTGACTTTTGCAATGTCATTGGGTGTTCTTTACGTGTTGGCCATTATTTTTCGCCAATCTCTGGCGCGGGGTAGTAGCAGTTTTAGTTGCATACTCTTTTTAGAACTTTTTGTATACACCGTCGCCACCGATGATAACGATGCTCTACAAAGGTTTCAAAGATCTGCTGAAACTCATGGCTTCAATGTTAAGGTAATTGCCCGTATCCCATATGATTATGGAAGGTTCTTGGCTCCGGCGAAGCGTGGCTTGGTGGAGATGTTGCGAGTTTTCCTGGTGGAGGGCAAAAAATCCGATTTTTGAAAGACGCTCTTGAACCACTTTCTCAGGACACTGAAAAATTGGTTTTGTTTGTGGATAGGTTTGTTACTTTGGGCACAAAGCCTGAATTTTTATTTAGTACTTATTGGCTCTTATATTTGCTTTCAATTTCCAGAGGCTGCCTTAGTCATCAGTCCAAAAGCTGATATTTCAATGACTTGCAGGACTCTTTTTGTCATGTTTCAAATAGAATACATAACTTTTACTTCAATAATTACCTTAGATAGATTTATCTTGGACCTTTTTCTAAAAAACGGTTGTAGGTACTATTTTTACTTCATGGCAGTAATTCGAAATCGGTAGACATCGTATCGGCAACGCAACAAGATGGGGAGACTGACCTTTGCCATCACTTTTGGTTTTCCTAGATGAATTAATTTTAAGGTCTTATCAGCGCTATCCCAATTTTTGTTGCTTTACTCAAGTGACTGAACTCATTACACAAATTAGTGGGTAGCTTTGCTTAATTTACGGCGGTGTTTTCTGTTATCCGTTTCCTATATCGACATTTCTAATTCTGAGGTTTTTTATTTATGGGGTTTCTTTGATGGTATTATAGTTGGAGTTACCAAGAAATTAGTCTGCTAGGAAATAATATGCTTATGCGTGCATTTTAAGGAATTTCTAGAATTAGAGATAATGAGTCCAAATGAAAGCAGTGGGATAGTCGATCATTTGTCTGTGGTTTTTGAAGGTAGTCAATTAGTCAAGCCGCGGTTTGCGTAATTTCTTTTCTCAAATTTAGTGGCAAACTTGCAGAAAAACAAGCAAGTCGGTTTTATTCTCCACAACTTCAAATTTTAATTTTTCTTCTCGACAAAGCTGTGCAAAGTAGTTGTTTTAGGCGTTACGACATGTTATCTTTACTTTTTTTGCGCGGGGCGATAACTTTAGCTACTCGTGTTTATTTTGAAAAGTCTAGTTTCTTTCAGCATCAATGCTTTCACTACAGATTTTGGTTGACTATCTATTTTTTCAGCTATGATGTTGTGTTCATGGATTCAGTGGATTCGTTTCTTCACAAATATGATACCCTACAGCACCGAGTTATTTTTTCTGCTGAGAAATTTTGCTGGCCACAGCCCTCCCTCATGGTAGGTATGGAATTATTACTATCGATTTATTATTGCATCTGTATGTTGATTGCCAAAATTTATCCCTTTTCAAAGTCAAAGTACCCCGTCGTTGATGAAAACGAGAGCAGATTTTTGAATTCCGGATCATTTGTTGGACCAATTGCCGATATTTTCCGAATCATTAGCCACAGCCCTATCGAAAATGAGGATGATGACCAGCTCTTTTATACCAAAATTTTCCTTGACCTAAGTCTCCGTGTAAGTCAGAAAATTTGCTCTTCAACGAGCTCCAAAGTTTAATGTCTGGTAAAACCTGATCATATTATTCGGGGACCAACGCAAGTGAAAGTTATGAGTACACATCTCACATTTCGTTAATGTAATTTACACCAAATGGGTATCTGTTAAATGATATTACTTTCTTATTTAGCAGAATAATTAAGAACCTTATCAGGAGCGTATAATTAGGCTCTCAAAGAAAGTGAAAAGAATTCCAATTTATTTGTGGATTCGTTGGTCTTATAAAAATTTAGGGGAATTCTCGTTTCCATGTATTTACTGGTTTACATTAGGGCAGATAGGATTGTTTCAGTCTTCTGTTTGCTAGCAAGAGCTCGATATCGCCTTGGATACGCGATCTGAACTTTTTCAAAATCTCAATGGGGCCTTGGGTAAATTTGTCTGCCTCAATCGCATGTTGATCGTCATCTGCATGATTCTCTTTCAAGCACCTATGGAACCCCCGTTATATTGGTTCTCTCACCGTTGACGTCCCTGCTACATCACTCTGACCCAAACTTTTGCAAAAAATAGCTTTTAAAATAACCTTATTCGTAAAAAATTAAGTAGGCATAAATTCCCGACCAAGCAGATTTCCTAAAAGGTGAACTTACCTTGGAGTGGATTTTGAGCATAGCGCAAGTGAATTCAGAATGCAGTGCATGACCAATCCTTGAGGTTGGGTGTTGCTCTTATGCTCTTTAATGTGCTACTTCAGGGGACATTAGGATAGACTACAACGAGGATACGGGTTATTTGGTGAATACCCGAACCAACACCCGACCCGTCGTCGCACATGGGAACGGACCGATCAAAGTTAGCCGAAATTTATTTAAATTGTACTTTTCATTTAAGATGCTTTATAGACTAAAGCAACTTTTCAAGGACATTCCGTTGATTATATTCGAGAAAATCATGACCGGTTCGTTGCTCTTGGATGTTAGAATGAGGGCTTGACCACACACGCGTCAGACTTTGAATAGTAGATTGCACTTTTGACTAAATTTCCAAGAAAATTGGAAATGATGATATTCTAAACACTTCCCAAAAATAGTAATACGTATAAGTGGGCCATTGTATGTGTACTTGCATAACGATAAAGTAGAGGCAAAAAGAAATGTGAAATCCTGTTGGGCCCATTGGACGGATCCCCTGGTCTCACTGTCTGGCACCTCATATTCCTATCTCTAGGCCATTCTAGCGGCTGAAATTGTCTGGGTTGCTGTAATAACTTTTGTAATGAACACCTAATAAGTATCACAACTGCAGACGTCAAATAAACGCATTTTCGCATAATTCAACAGTTTTGCTGGGGATCATTACTGGGTTAGTCTTGGAAATTCAAAAGAGAACTTGTCTGATGAGTATTCGAGGACCCACGTTTGACTTGTATATTGAACACATCTTTTTAAACATTGATCAATGGCATTGAATTCAATTACTTAGAAGCGGAAACTCTAGTTTTAATTACTTCAATAAATACAATCTGAATTTGCGTAAATACCATCAAAGCTGCAAAGCGCTAAATAGGTCTTCTTTTCTTGGTAAAAATAGGTTGAGTTCAATTCTCTGACTAATTACCTTGCACGAACCTGGACCCCATCAAAGGGCTGCCTTTACTGTCAGGAGGACAACATCGATTTGGATCAACTCTCAGCAAGTTTCCACCTGCATACTTTTTTCCCAATTCCCACGAGTGTTGTCTCCTTTTTTTCTTCAGCCGAATGCCTATCCCGTCGTTCAAATTTCCGCCTTCATCGCAGCTCCTACTCCCTTTGTTGAGGACTTCTTTAAGTACCTTGACCAACTGAATTATCCAAAAATGAGAATTTATCTCACACTTTACTGCAATGTGAGTCAGAAGCCGATCCGTTTAAAGCCTAGAAAACCGCTGTTTGAAGCATTTCCCTTCTATTTTAGGTTGAAGAACACTATGCAGCCCTCCTTGAGTTTAACGTGACGCGGGGCTATGAATACAAATCTGCTATTGTGATTTCCGAGAGTACCTATAAGACAGACATATCTGCGAAGAATCATGCCTGGTGATTTTCTTTTCGTATTTTACAAATGCCTTGGAAGCTCTCTTTTAGAGCTTTTTAGTGAACTATTTTTCCAAATGATCACAAATAGGAGAGTTTAATCTCGAGACATTAATCCATTTTTCTATGTCAATACTCCTTTAGCCACAGATGTCACAGTGCCTCAGCTTGGATCTTGATAGGTGCTAGAAATCACACCAACTGGACAGTACATCAGAAGTGTAAAATCAGTGAACGGGACAACTAGTTCTCGTAACTAAAGTCGTGTTTGTTGGTCAGTTGCGAACCTTATTTAGGATAATTGTCCTTCTAAAGATAAAATTGGTAATCTCAAAAAAAAAATTTTCTCTTTCAGCTGCGTACATGTCATCATTGTAGTTGGAACGTATTTGAGTGGGGGTTTAATTAAAACGCCGACCTTGTAACTGATGTTACCTGTCAAATTTGTAACTTTTGGTCAGTCATTTCATGGACCAAATAGAATCCTCAAATGTCCGAAATACAGGTCCCTCTGCCTTGGCCACGAGGATTGCGCTTTTGTGCTCACCATCGACTCGATGGCACGACTCACGAATCCTAACACCCTGAATCACTTGGTGCGCATGAATCGCAACGTCATGGCTCCACTTCTCACACGAATCGGCAAACTCTGGTCCAACTTCTGGGGCGCTCTCAATCGTGATGGTTACTACGCTCGCTCTTCCGACTATGTCGACATAATTAACAGAAGGCAGAAGCAAGTTCAGCCCACACTAACCATTCTCTCAAGACTACTCCAGTTCATATAATGTTTAGAAACCTTGGTCTTATTTGCGACCAGGTTAGGTTTCACTAGAGCACAAATATTGCAGGGTCCTTAGTGCTTTTTTTACTTTTTCTCAGGGGTATATGGAACGTGCCTTTCGTGAGCAACTGCTACATGTTCTCGAGGTGGACAGCACGTCAACTAGTGAATCACTTGCCACAAGAAGATTCTTTCCCAGACATGACCCTGTCGAAGCTAATTCGTGAAAAAGTGAATGTTTTGACGATGTTAAACTGTTTCCTGGTGACATATTGGATCTGATGCCGTTCTTTTTCGTAATTTGGCAGAATATCTTCTTATTCGTGGATAACCAGGAGTATTTCGGTCACCTGATCAATCCGGACACTTATAAGCTGAACCACCTGCACAACGATATGTGGCAAATATTCGACAATCCTGTGGTATAGCCAAGTTTTTTTGTAAAGCAATTGAATTCGAGTGTTCTGATAAACGTAAATGGTTATTTCAGGTGAAGTACGCTGTCAGTGAAGGCAGTTTAATGTTCCCATTTGTCAGAAACACACCATTTAAGGAGTTTAGCTAGCACGATGACAGTTTTATAATGTTAGATACGTGTCTGCAGTGCTGCATAGAAGAGATTATGCTACACTCTTGGGCGAGTCGGTGAATTTCGATCTAGTTCATAAATTCTCCTTACTCAAAATCCCCCTTAATCAAGTCATCGAGCTTCTATAATGAAACTGAAATATCAGGCACGCCACTACCGGTTGAATTGCCTTTTTTGTAACAAGTAATATTGATGACACCTTATCTTCGAGTGCTGCACCTTTCTTCATTTTTCATAGAATCGCTTTTTCAGTCACAAAAAGTCGTCGGAGTAAATTATATGAATATAAGTAATGCGAACAATTGCTGACCCTTTGGGACACGATAGACTTTCGATATTTTCCTAGGTTTGGGTAAATAGATAAACTAGTATTTTTGTTAAACCCCAGGCTAATTTGTCACAGCGAATAGTGCCAGCAAGAGCAACTAGCACCACGTTTAACGGATTATCAAAAGCTGTATTTGAATCGCCATCAACCAATGCCACGTGTTTTGGCTGAGAGATGCATCATCTGAAGTGGGTGGCAAAAAGCTGTTCGGGCATTTGGTCATCCACGTACGTGGCCGCCACGTTGCAAGTTCCCGGTGCCTGTGCGTGTAGGGGAATGCAGAAGACACCAGACTACGGAGGCTGCGTTCCTACCGTCCGTGCATGATTTGTTAAAATGTGGACAGTTTTGGCATAGTGGTAGAAATTTGTCGAAGGAACAAAGTTGTCCTTTAATGTGTTTGGCAACGAGTTTTATTCTGCGGCACCTTTTTCATTTTATGACATGGGATATATTTTGTCCGTTGCTGAGAGGCAGAAATACAGATATGCGATATGTTTGTCATTAGTTGCATAGACGGTAATTAAACAAATCAAGATTGGGCTTACAACTTCCATCCATCGCATAGTAATTTGAGCAACAGAGTATTCGCGCGAAGTAGGTTGGCGTCCGTACTAATATTGGTTAGATTCTCTATTAACCGTAATGCATAATACATTGCAGATTTCGGGCAGCAAATTCAATTTTGCTGTCTATTACCTCCTAACGCATGCTTGAATTCCCCATAACATCTTTGCAGAGTGAATCAATTTGGGACTTGTAATTTGATTTCAGGAGTGGGAGAAGAAATATCTCCATCCAGATTACCACAAGTACATAAACCGTTCATTCAGTGGGTTCGAGCAGCCCTGCCCAGATGTGTTCTGGTTCCCCCTTCTCTCAGAGCAGTTCTGCAGGGACATGATAGAGGAGCTAGAGTTTACTGGCCTGTGGTCAACAGGCAGCAACATCGATCCGCGGCTGGAGGGCGGCTACGAGAATGTGCCCACCATCGACACGCATATGCGTCAGATCGACTGGGAGGCTCACTGGTTGCACGTCTTGGCTACCTACGTGCGTCCTATCCAACGAATTGTCTTTGAAGGCTACGAAGACTTGGTAGGATGCTACACTGACCTCATTCCTTGTGTTTACGTCAACAAAACAATCTAATCTGGCATATGTGGTGTAGGGTGATACTATGTAGATTTACCCTCTCTTGAGCAAATACTGTGTATTTGTAAGTGCATTTCTCGACACCATTAGGCTACTTGACTGGCTTATAGTATCAAATTTATCTTAACAAGAGCGGGCTTATATTCACTAACTTCTTGTTTAACTCCCTAGTGGAATGTTTTATTCAAATCTGTGTGATACATTTCGACTTCTCACTAACGTGACTTTCAGATGCCACCTTTTCCAGGCTATTTGAATACACATTTAGCTGTTTCACTACCGATTCAACTCTTTTATGGATACTTGTGCTCTTAGCCAACTGCGCGAATGAACTTCGTGGTTCGTTACAAGCCCGATGAGCAGCACAGTCTACGTCCGCATCACGACTCTTCCACCTACACCCTCAACATCGCCCTCAACCGGCCGGGCTTCGACTATCAGGCAAGGGAATGCCTCACTCATCCTCGTCTTTTAATTTCTGTTTCTTCCAACTTTAGTCTTTCAGTGTGTGAGATATGATGAATTAATTGCACAAAAGCCGTCGGTACAAACCATTAGTGTGTAAGACTAATGATACACATAGAAGGGGTCGATGGTTCGTCGTGCGCTTGATACATAAACACCTACTCTAATATTGTGCAGTTCTGTGCATTTTACTAGTTTAAAAATATGTTTAACTATTACTTGCCAGAATTCTTCAAATATTCTAGTTTTATTAACATATCTGAAAAACTAGTATGTAATAGAGCAAATATGGAAATGTTTTGGACAATAAAATTTCCTCGATATGTAAATTACCGGCCATTATTTATTCCTGCAAAAGGGGCCGAATAGAACGTTTATAGCAAGTCTTTTGTACCATTCATAAACAATATTTCCGTAGCCTGAAATGTTGTGGATGATTTTAGAAAGTTCTTTGACACTCCCGAAACATTACCGTCCTAGTAAAAAATTACCTCGAGACAGCAACGCTGTTTCAAAAATGCGAGTAATCTGATGGTGTTTACTACCGGCAATCAAAGCAGGAGGAGGGTTTCAGCTTAGGCTGAGATAGCACTTTAACCGATGACACGATCGCTGCCCTAAGGGCAGGTGATTTGCTCTCTTTCATCGTGTACGTGTGATACGCAGGGCGGCGGGGCTCGGTTCGTGCGCTACGATTGCGCGGTGGTGCGCTCTCGCCTCGGATGGGCTCTCATGCACCCAGGGCGGTTGACACACCTCCACGAGGGTCTTCGCACCACCCATGGTATCCGCTACATCTTCATTACCTTCGTCAATCCCTGAGGCGTTTCTCCCGCTTTTTTCTCGTGATCGTTATCACAATTTTGCGTACATTTAAACTTGTCTTCCAATTTTCAGTAGGTAAAGCCTTTTAGAGTTTCCTTTTGCGTTTTTTAATCGCGAAGGCATTGTTTGTTGGGTTTGGTTTGGATCATAAGGTTCTACTATCGTACATGAACAGTTTAGCTCGTATGCTAAATCAGCTAATCGAAGTCACCTGAAAAATCAGGAGTTTGACTTCGAAAACAACTATTTGCTCCTGAAACAATAATTATTCGTGCTGTACTTTAAAATGGCAAACAGTTTAAGATAAACCGAAGCATGAAATAGATAAATTGTACTGGAGGAAGTGAAGCTTAACACCATTATGCCGCCTTTGTTCACGTATGTACTGGAGCCCGTTGTCACTTTGGCGCTGGGTCACTAGTAGACTGTAGATATTATTTGGCAATGTGGGACATAAAACCCATGCCAGAAAGGTTTTTATTAAGCCATAAAGAAAATATTATGAAGTAAAAGTCCACAATCACCTAAGTAGTGAGTGCCTTATGGAATTTGATGCTCTTGTTTGTGTTTAATAAAATTCGTCGGAAGCGGTGTTATTGACGGGTGTGTATGCTGGTGATCAAACCTTTGTTCAAAAAGGTTAAGGTGATCTAAACTTAGCATCGGTGGAAGGCGGATTTGCCCCTTTCTTAAGCCTGTACACCTCCAGTGTTCAAACACGAGACCGGTGCTGTCTACGCATGTGGCATCATCGTCCCATCGAAAACCCTAGGAAATGAGGCAGTGAGTGGAACCCTTTGGACGGTATCACTGATTGATTCAAGCATCACTCTAGGCTTGGTTTTACCTCATGGAATGGCTGGAAAAAGTACCGATGCCCGAGCTTTGAATCGGCCCTAGCAACGTCCTGCTACCGAGGCGAGTAGGGGGAAGTGATTCAGGAGGAGAGAGGAAAGAGGAGTGGGTGGGTGTGGGCGGCCCTCTAATACGGTGCCGCGGATGTCCAACTCCCCTGCCCTTAATATCGCCACGTCAGGGCTGTGCGTGTGTCCGTAATTCCGGCTTATGTACGCAAACTTTGGCCACTTTCCTCTCAGGTATTGGGGCATCGTGACGATGACCTACACAATCGGAAGAGGAACAAAGGTTCTAGGTCGGGGAGGGTACAGGTGGATGGCAGTAGATCCGCAGTCTCAGCCGTTGTGGATATGAGGTGTCCGGTGCCAACATTTCGTGCTAACTACGGGAACAAATTTTTTGTGGACCTAGCGGCAATAATCTCCTCAACAAGAGGTCTGATACACAAATAAACTGACTAATTGCATAATGAGTTATTTGGACTGCTTTGAACTTATTGGAGTAGGAATCTTTCGCGTATACTTGAGTTACAGGGAAATAATGTTGACATTTGAAATGCCCAATTTCATTTATTGAAAAGGTTTTGGCATTAAATAGTACATTGACTAAGAATTTCACTGATTTATTACTTAATAATAAATAAATTCCCACTTTTATGATAAAAAAGGTAAGATTTGACACTACTCAGCGACCAGAAAGTCTGCTTAACTAATTATCGTCTCAGGGAACAAATCAGCAACTCCAAGCGGCTGGGAGATGGTTAATTTTGGAAGTTTGTCAGAAAATGTCCAGTCTAGACCTGCAACCCTTGGCACGTCTGCAATGCACAGGTTTTCGATACTTTCCTAATGGAAGTTTTATAACCAGCAAATCATACTTTTCAAGGGATATGTATTTCGTCTATAGTCTCTCTTGGTTTGCATTAAATTTTTGCACATGTCCAGGACAAAAAGCATGTACAATGCAGTAAACCCACTTCCACATCTGGAAAGCATAACTTTCTACCATGTAGTTCAGTTAGATAAGATTCACTCATCGAAATTCACTGTCGGCCTTTTGAGAATCAGGCTATTGCAGAGACCAAACATATGGTTTGCTCATGCTGTTACATGGATGTAGGTGGTAATAATATAATTTAATATACCTCATATAGTGCTCCGTTATTCGTTCCAGTTAATCAACTAGTAAAAGATATTTGATGGAGAATTTCGCATGTCATTTCTGGCTATCATTCTCTCTAGTATCTTCATTCAAGCTCATGGATTGCTCTGACGTTTGCTTTCATTTCTAAATAAAGAAAGAGATTGAGTCGATAATGGCAAATCCAGTTTTTTTTTATTTTATGAAGGTTTCTAAAGGCACGAAGTACAATAGATTTCGCCTTAGTCTCGATGTGCAAATATAAACCACTTCGTGTTTGAGACGCAGAGCGCGTTGGCGTAACAGATAAGATTGGAAAGAAACAGGGCCATTAAGTAAGATACACTGAATGAAATACTCACATAAAAGGCTTTCTGGGACCCCTAGTCTCGCTTTCCATAGCTCATAAAATGAGGTTTCTAGTCTGCTACAAAATTGTTATGAAAGACAAAACAAATACCACTTGGCTTTCTTAAAACGTAGTGAAATTAATAGGAGAAATCGCCTAACCCGTCCGCACTGTTATTTCAAGGAAATGTCATTTAATACAAGTATATTAGCATATCAATTTGACACCGTTGTAAGACATTATAAAATGTCATATTAATGACAAAATAAATGTCAAATTTCTGGCGTAGTCATACAAAATGCTCAAATATGTGTACTTCATTACATTTCACAGATTCTGCAAAATACTAGTAAAGAATTTGATATTATTGAGTATAAAGTTCAACAAGAGTAATTCACATTAGAGCGTTTTGTTTTCTGCTAGATTCCGAAACATTTGCATAGGTAATGTGGGGGTCTAACAGAAAAAATTAGGCTCAAAAATTAATTGTGTTGTAAAATTTTCTGTGCAAACTCGTTTTTGTATAACAGACCCACTGTCAAACAAGATGGAGTGACAAAAGTAGGCATGGAAACATTTACTAGGTACATTAGCGTGTTAAGTCATAAAGTTGATTTAAATGGAGTATCGATCAATCGAGGCATCAAGATGCCTGAAATCAGCGGCCCGCCTCCAACGCCCACCTTTCACCACAAACAGACCAATGGGCAAATATCCTCTGCACCCAACCAATGAGGGCACAGGATACTGAAGCCAATCAGGCCGTCTGTGCGCTGCCTATAAATAAGATGGGATAGTGCGACGTCGGTTGGACATCACCGCGGCTAAACCATGTACGATGCAGCACTGAGGTTCTCGCCGTCGCTTTATTCTCTTCTCCTTCTCCTTGCCATCTTCGCCTTCTCCTGTGAACAAGCTGACGGTAAGTTGTGCTCACGATCGCGCCCGCTCCCTAACATGACATCCTTTCATGCTCGCTCCCCTCATCCTCCAATCTGCCCATAGAACTCCATGTGATCGGACTACGTGGTGAGATGGATGATGCCGTGCAGCGATTTGAGCGATCTCTACAGGTCTTCGGATACGCCCACACCCTCCTCGACCTCTCCATCTATGGCCGCACCACGCGCGAGGTCTCCTTCGAGCGCAAGGTGCAGGCACTTCACCAACTCATGGATGACATCCCCTCCGAGCATGTCCTCATCCTCGACAGGTCAGTTCATGGTCCCCCACGTTCTTCCTCCGATCCTTGCCCACAACATTGCAGAAGTTCTTCCGAGTCGGTACCTCGTGTCCACCGAGTGCATACTGTAATTCTTCCAATTGAAGTAGACTTGCATCAAATCCTTTCAAACTCATTTTTTGCCTTTGTCATAGTCACTCCTCCATCCTACTCAACACCCCTGCCGACCTTATTAGGCAGAGTGAGAGGATTGGCGCAGATTTCATCTTCGTCGAAACGGTGAGTTGTCAATGACAGCTAGTCTAATGGTTGTATTGGTGAGGATGGTGATGCTAATACCCACCTCTTCATTATTCGCAGGATGCCAACTCTGGCAAGAAGCTGCCTTCAGGCGATGCTATATTCACAGGCATGATGGCGCGTACGAAAAGCCTGAAAGAGCTGCTGGAGGACCTCTCAGATGACTCAACTGAGGACCTTGTTGACAAATTCGTCAGTGCTCTCCACTCCGCACTTTCTCGGGTACTTCCTTACCTCTACACCATTCCCTCATGTGTGCCATGTTTGCTGTCACATACAACCACTTTATAGTCGCTAAATTTGGGACGATCTCATTGGCGTTGGTCTGTTTATTACACCATACCATTCCCCTTTTCTCGACAGGATTCTGCCAAGGTTGCAATAGATGAAGAATCCGCTCTCCTTCAAGTTGTCAACAAAGACTCTGGTAGGAAAGATTTTCTCCGTAAGGAGTTTTCGGCCCCTCGGTATGCAAATCTTGATTAACTTGTGTCCTTGCATCACCGCTGTAGGTGTATATCTAAAAGTGCGCTATGAGAGTGATCGGGGGTACGTGCAGAACGTGCGAAAGGACACCGTTCCACCCATCCTCATCGCCTCTCCTGAAGGCAAGGTGTGCATTGGCCATAGCAGCTAAAGTCTATAGTCAGCCACACAGATTGATCCACAGAGCCTATTGGAACTCACACTTATCTGATAAGAGATAACAGGATTCCCTTAAAACCTCAGTCGGTTCCTACGCAGTTTAGGAAACATCGACCTCCTAATGCTCAACAACCACGCTTTCATTCCAATAGGATATAAAATAGGAAATTATATCTTCAGAAAGGCTTAAACTAACTGACAGAGAGTTAACTTACATACTGTCGTTTATCGACGTGCCAACTAAACCAAGGAGTGTTTCGTTTGCAGCATAAGTTGAACTCTCTCTCCAACTACCTCGTTCGCGCCTGGTCGCCTGAGACAGGATGTCAGATCTGTGATGAGGAGAAGCTCGATCTCTCCCGTTTGAGTGTATGACTTTGCTTCACTATATTCTCCTCCTCTTCTCCACTCCGTGTTCTCTTTTTGTTGCACAAATCGCCCGTTGGACATTCGATTATGAGTTTATATGGAGGTCTTTTATGGGTGGATTGATTAGCACGAAAAACAAACCAATTTATGCATATTTTCTTATTCACTTATTTATATGCCTTTTTCGAAATATTGCCATGAATGCTTGTTTGGTAAACTTTCTTGTCTTCATAAGTAGTGGTGACAGGAGAAGGTCCAGTACAGATGAGGGCCAGTAACGAAGTAATGGGAGAAACCAAGGGGACCATCGCATTTAGGGAATAAAACTGAACACGATTTATGCATTTATAGCACCTTGACTATCCCGTCATCCAGCTGAGTGTGCTAGTAACGGAACCCACGCCGTTCCTTGAGGTCTTCTTTGAGGGCTTGACGAATCTCACCTATCCCAAGAACCGAATAGACCTGGTTACATATTGTGCCGTAAGTCCACCGTCCTTCCTCTTTCTCCATTACCTCCTCCACCAATGTCAGCAAATACGATATCGACAAACGCTCGAAGTGCATTTATTCATTTCCTCAATATTTTCAGGTGGAGAAGCAGAAATCGGTTGTGAACGACTTTATTGCCAGGACCTCACACGAATACCACTCGAGCAGAGAGATCCGACTGCCTCTGAGTGCACGACCCACCGAAGCGTTCCAAGAGGCTCTGTGAGTTTTCCTTCCTTTTCGTTCACTTCATTCACAACCTACTGCACATGACATTTCCCCTTCTTTCCACTCAAACCAGGTCCTACTGCTGGGAGAACAACGAATGCAAATACCTCTTTTACATGGAGCCGACCACCCAGTTGCGCAAGGCAGACACATTGGAGCACCTAATATCAACGAAGAGGAACGCCATTGCGCCAATGATAACGCGTCCGGGCAAATTCTGGTCCTCATTTTGGGGTGCCCTTACCGATGAGGGCGCCTATGCACGCTCTGACGACTACTTCGACATAGTCGAACGCCGTCAAACGTGAGTCTGGCTCTCTTTCCCACTTTATCTTTGTACCACAGATTAAGCTCCCTTCTTTTGAGCTTGTTTAACGTCCGAAATGTGGTTGACTTTATAGTGATCTGTTTACTTCCCGAGTACGGTGCTAAGCTTTTGCATAACCACTACCAACTTTGACGAGTGTAAGCGAATGGCAATTCCGCAAATGAACGCAAGCACGCAACTACTGGGAAATCGGAGAAGCTATTTAGAATAACCTTAAATGAAATGTTCTACGTGTCATGCCGAGTCATGTGCAAGTGTAGATTGATTTTAACGTCTTCCTTTCATGCTGATATGAGTGACACAAGCGTAATGCAGCGCTTGTGCTAGAAATTTTTTGGCAAAATGCACCACATCGACTCCCATGATCGCTTCCTTGATGGAAGTAGGGTGATCCATTCAATAACCTAATAATGCATTAGTTCTACAAGATCAGCCTTCAGCAGCATCAGCATCGGGCTCTCGAGTTGACATAGCCTGTAGTGTTAAATGTGATGTTTATTATGGCTGTTTCAGTGGACTTTGGAACGTGCCGCTGGTTGGCAGCTCAGTGCTCTTCTCGCGCTGGGCCGTGGGACAACTGCGGGAGGTGCTGGAGGATAGTGGATTCCTTCTCTACGATATTGCAAATGCCGCTCTCCAACGGGTGCGTTACCCCTCACCAACACCTCATTCAAAGAATCCGACACGTACTTTCATTAGTACAACTGCATAACCACTTAGTAATTAGGTGGGTAAATCTTTCTCTATGATTGTAGATTGGTGAAATATGACATTCAAAATTGTTTGTTAAAGGAAAGGTTGAGCAGTAATTGATTGTTGAGCCTTGTTGTGCAGCTCATCAGTCTTTTTGAAATGCAGAACATGTTCCTCTTCGTGGACAATCGGAAGGACTTCGGCCACCTGGTAAACCCTGAGACGTACACCTTGGACCACTTGCACAACGACCTCTGGCAGATCTTCGACAACCCTATGGTGCGTTCCTTGATTGTACGCACATGGAATTGAACAAAATCAACTTAGGGACCCCCTTCCATTATTGACTGTAGATTTACTAAAATGTACAAGTACTATTAATATAACCAGCTGTCAACAATGGCACAACTCCAAAGACGGCTTTATTCCATTTAACAAGTGTAGAGATAGGGTACATAATCCTGCATTGCGTACTAAACTAAAAGCAGTCCCATTTTTATTAGGAAATGTAAGTAGAAACTAAGCTTTGGGTTGGCAATGGAATTGAATGTGTGGTGTTGCACTTTGTGCTAGGATTGGGAGGAGCGCTACATCCACCCGGAATACTTCCGTTTCGCCAACACCTCTACCACCATGGCTGACTTCGAGCAGCCCTGTCCAGACGTCTTCTGGGTGCCGCTGATGTCGGAGACCTTCTGTCAACAGCTAATCGAAGAGACGGAGTACTATGGCAAGTGGTCCGATGGCTCTAACTACGATCCTCGCCTCGAAGGTGGCTACGAGAACGTGCCCACCGTTGATATCCACATGAGACAGATCGACTGGGAGGAGCACTGGATGCACGTTCTCCAGAAATACGTCTACCCCATTCAGCTGAAACTGTGGGAGGGCTACTACGATAAGGTAAGTCGTGGTCTTCAGAACCAGTTTGCTGATTGCACGCCTCTGCGCAATCCCATTTTATTTGACCTCACAACCTTTTCTGCAACACTAATGCATTAATCGAGTACGCATTCGCAAACTCCACTCTACTAAAGAATCCACAGCCGACCCTACAACTGGGTTGGAAGACTGATTTTAGCTATCACCCACCCTCTCTCTCCCTCGTGGCACTTATTTATCTCCTTTAGCCAACTGCGAGGATGAATTTCGTTGTGCGCTACAAACAGGGCGAGCAGCCGTCGTTGCGCCTTCACCACGATGCCTCCACTTACACCCTCGACATGGCTCTCAACCGTGCCCATATCGACTATACGGTAAGATTTTACATCACCTCCCACCTTGACTATTGCCTTCTACGCGGTTGCACACATTAGTAACGAGGATCACAGGGAGCTTGTCAAACTGTAGATCCATTTTTAAGAAGCTGTACACGACCTGAGTTAGTGCAGGCATAAGTGCTCATTAGAGGAACATGCACAGGGCGAGCGCTGGCAGATTAGTGCGACCATGGATTCGGCAGAAGACTAATGTCAATTGGTGGTTATTCTCTTCCTTCCTCATAGGGCGGGGGCGTGCGGTACCCGCGCTACAACTGCACCCTAGTTGACACCCGTGTCGGATGGCCCCTTGTCTTCCCTGGTCGACTTACTCACCTACATGAGGGTATGGAGACTACCAGCGGAGTGCGATACATCTTCGTCACTTTTGTCAACCCCTAATCCTCTTATTTTCTTCCTACCCTTTCTTACAATAACTCTCTCATTTTATTACACTCTACTAGTTATTTGATAAAGTTAATTTCACTTGTAATACTCGTGTTTTGAAAAAATGTTGTAATAACTGATGATTTATTCAGAGAACGCGCGATGTTTTCCTGATGGATCAGTAATTTTCTAGTGAGTTAATACAGAGGGCGCCGTCGTGTTTATTCCAAACTTGGCATATGCTGAAATTCACTCACTTTAGAATGTTGGCGAATTTGTCAATGTACCTCAAACGGGATTGGCTAAAGTTATTAAAGATTTACTGAAGTTGTCGCCCCCGCACAAACAAGTACGCGAAGGGGGGTGCGGTCCGCAAGCGCCTGGTCGGAGCCTGGCAAGCAAAAGACTGTCCTAGTGTAAAATCTGCTTGTGATTCTGTGGCTGTAGTCTCGTGGAGTTCTAACAACTGACTGACCTCGAAATTCCAGTGACTTAGTATGCATGGAGTACATCTGCCTAATATGAGCCCGTCAGGAAGGACTGATTAGGAGAATGACTCTACAGGGTGTACGGAGATTAGGTATTAATCAAAACCTCTAGAAAATCAAACAGGGGCGTTCTTCTGGGGCTGGAGACATCTACAGCACATTTACATCTGTGCCCAGTCTATAATTTGCTTTCATTTTTCCGAACCCAATTTTTTTTAATTTTGCTCCTTAAAGTCGTAATAGCTGTACCTCTTTCTTAGATTCTGATTTGAAACACTTTCGTCAACATTGTCTGACCCACATCAAAGGAAATTCGTAGTATGAACTACAAAACAACCTATACTGCTGTTGCTGTTAGACTTTCATTTGGATTATTTCACAAAATTTGAACTAAAAAATAACAGGTATACTCCATTTTTAAACACAAAGAGAATAATTAAAGAGTGATAAAGGGAGATATATTGCATGAAGTACCTAAACAGTAGGAGCAATATGTCAATTCCCATTAGCTCCCCACAAAATCTCAGGTTATCAGTCACGAATAATCAACGCTTGCATTGAAACTTCCATCGAAAATTACGGAAGTGCCAACAAAATTACTTGCAAAACATTTCAAGACTTTATGCGATGTTTTTTAGTGTATGGCTTTTGCGTGGCAACCTTAGCAAGAAAATCGACCCAACTGACACGTACATTCGTGTAGTGGAGACGAGCTAAATGCAGAATTAGACAGTACCAAAGTTGTCGCAAAAGATGGAAAAGAAAAGTAGGTTTTAATTTGGTCTATCGCCCCCTTTACGCGTTGAATGAGCCCGAAATGGCCGTATTATTGTCGTGGTTTTGTTTTCAACCGTTCAGATCGTCTAATAAAAGCTTCTTCAGAAATTGCGTCCTCTGCATTTAAATGCCTTTATCTACAAACAGTTTACTAGAAATTTAAAAATCAGGAGTGTTGTCATTAGCTCGACTCTGTCGAGGATGAGATGGATCTGCTCCAATAAAGAATATTCACCGTGTGACTTTCAGTAGAAGAAACAACCATGCTGGTAACATTAATAATGTCGCATATTTTAAAGAATATGTTGCTAGGATGACCTATCTAAGGCTAATGCATAATCAAGGTGCCCTAAAGAAATGCGTTTGACTCTGTCCGGTGAAGGCATGCAATGAGCAGCTTTTCTATGCTACACCAACAAGTTCTG